GTCTCAAAAATAAATAAATAAATAAATAAATAAAAAAGCTTCTGCACAGCCAAGGAAACTATCATGAGAGTCAACAGACAACTTACAGAATGGGAGAAAATATTCGCATGTTACACATCCGATAAAGGGCTGATAACTAGAATCCATATAGAACTCAGGAAAATCAGCAAGAAAAAAATCAAACGACCCTATCAAAAAGTGGGCAAAGGACATAAACAGAAACTTTTCAAAAGAAGATAGATTCATGGCTAACAGACATATGAGAAAATGCTCAACATCTCTAATCATCAGGGAAATGCAAATCAAAACCACAATGAGATATCACTTATCTCCAGTGAGAATGGCCTTTATCAAAAAGTCCCAAAACAATAAATGTTGGCATGGATGCAGAGAGACAGAAACGCTCATACACTGCTGGTGGTACTGCAAACTAGTACAACCTCTGTGGAAAGTAATACGGAGATACCTCAAAGAGACACAAGTAGAACTACCATTTGATCCAGCAATTCCATTACTGGACATCTACCCCAAAGAAAAAAAGACATTCTATAAAAAAGACATCTGTACTCGAATGTTTATAGCAGCACAATTCACAATTGCAAAGATATGGAAACAACCCAAGTGCCCATCAATACATGAGTGGATTAATAAAATGTAGTTTATGTATACCATGGAATTCTACTCAGCCACAAAAAAAAAATGGTGATCTAGCACCTCTTGTACTATCCTGGATAGAGCTGGAACCCATTCTACTAAGTGAAGTACCCCAAGAATGGAAAAACAAGCACCACATGTACTCACCATCAAATTGGTATTAACTGATTAACATTTAAGTGTACATACAGTAATAACATTCATTGGGTGTCGGCCAGGCGGGAGTGGGGAGGAGGGGATGGGTATGTTCATGCCTAATGGGTGCAGCGTGCACCGTCTGGGGTATGGACATGCTTGAAGCTCTGATTCAGGAGGGGCAAGGGAAATATATGTAACCTAAACATTTGTACCCCTATAATGTGCTGAAATAAAAAAATATATTACCTCAAAGAGTGCCAAGTTTTTATCAAAATATTCATCTCCTTCTTCGTAATTTGAATTATTGAGATAAGCATTTCGAGCTTTCTTATGCCCATCATCTGGAAAAAAAAAAGTAAACCCAGTTAGTTTCTCATTGGTATTGAAGCAACATCATCACCAAATAACTACATGTTGATTCTATATTAATATAACCCATTTTAATATTCAAATTTAATTGTAGAGTAGCAGAACTCAATCAGCATTGCTTGGAGAATATGACCCCCTCTCCAGCAGGAGCAAAAACAAATCTTCAAGAAGTAAATGTGGCCCACACTTCACCACTATACAATATATCTATAACATATACATGTAACAGAATTCAACTTGTACCCCCTAAATCTATTATAAATAAATAAATAACATTAAAGAATGAGGAAGGTAAACCAAAAATACATAAATAAATAAACATGGGTCATTCCTTTTCTTAACAATACAGAGACTTTTGGAGACACTAGTCTTTTAGAATTCCAGCCTATAGAAACCCTACTCTTGAAGTTACCCAAATCTAGGAGGAAAAAAATAGAATGCTTATTATCTACCCAGTGCAAAATACTGTACCAGACATGGGCCACTCTACACACTGCTGCTATTGATAATGGCAGTAAAAGCTTTCTGCCTCCAGAGCTGTTCAACCCTTATAAATTACATTAGGTCATTTAATCAAGCATTATTTCTGTACAAACCCTTCCATTTTTTTTTTTTTACGTTAAAAGAGGCACCCGACAGGAATTTGGTGAACAAAATATTACGGGAAAAAAAAAAAA